AAGAAAGAAAGAAAGAAAGAAAGAAAGAAAGAAAGAAAGAAAGAAAGGATGGATGGAAGAAAGGAGTGAATAAACTTCTCAAGTAAAGGAAAAGCTGGGTACTACTTCACACCAGCAATATCTAATATGGAGAGTACTGTCTCACAAAAACTCAACTCCAAGTCAACTTGAACAGCAGATGAGAGGAGACTAAGGCAGTCGTGTTAATGCTCGGACAGGAGGCACATGCTCACCAAGGCCCAAGCTTACCTTGTCGAGCGGATCCTGAAGGTTAGTGGATGCTTTATAGCCAAGCTGTAACAGCATCGCCTCTGCAGCATTTTTTTTGGCTATCTTTTTATTGGGTCCTGTTCCGGTTGCAACTTCATTGCCTACCTTGACCTATTGAGGTTAAAAGAAATTCATGATAGCGTATTAGCAAACAGGAAGCACTTACATTACAAAGCACTGCACAGAACTAAACAATATGAAGGTTAGTCCAAAACTAAACAGAAAGATTAAATCTCACTCATGTAAACTTTACGTACACAAGTGAAAATGCACATGGGAACACATTGAGCACGGCTCTCAAGACTGTCTGTGGCTGCCCTCTCAGGGGCCCCTCCTCCAGGACTTTCACCTCCTTATACAGTTTTGTTTTTTTTATACCTTATACATTTTGATTTTTTAAACCTTACTCATTTAAACAAGAAAAAAATAAGGTTTATATCATACAGGGTTTGTTCTTACATTTAGTATTCTTTATTTCCAGTAATAAGCTGAGAAAGTGGAATTTCATATTGGTGTCATTTAAACAAGTGTTCAAAGTTTATATGAGTTTATATTAGGGCTGGAAACAGTGCTCACTGGTAGAATATTTGCCTAACACATACAAAGTCCTAGGTTCAATATCCAGTACGGAAAAACATTATATTAAATAGTTCCTAAAGAGAATTATTTTATTAGGCTGAGTATAATAGTGTAGTGAAGAAAAAGATTTCCAAGTGAGTCTAAGGACTTAAGAAATGCAACTCTCTGATATTTCCTCTTTATAAGGTACTGAGCGTTATTAACAACTCCCTAAACATCAAACTCCTAGAGTACAGCAGAATAACAACAACTATGTCACTGTTGCCTTGGAAATTAAGAAAATCTATGTCAGCTACAATGCTTAATCAATCATAGCTGATTAGTGAACAGCAAACTTCCCATAACCTTTTGTAAGCAATTTAAACATAATACACACACACACACACACACACACACACACACACGCGTATTTAAATATATATGAGCCATCTTGTACATGAATAAGACTGTTTTAGGAAGACATGTACTAAGAGAAACAAAATTATAAAACCCAAATTGCAAAGTGAAAGACAAGGATCAATCTTCAAAATGACATTAAAATATTGCTGCTCCTGCAGAGGACTCAGGCTAACTCACTCACGCCCCAATGGTTGCAGAGGACTCAGGCTAACTCACTCATGCCCCAATGGCGGCTCCCAACTGTGAGTGTATCTAGCTCCCAGGGATATGGAGCCCTCTTCTGCAGGCATACATATAGTGAACATGTGTGCAGGCAAAATACTTTAAACATACAAACTATAAATAAACCTTTAAAAATACTAAAAAAGGTAAAAATGTGGCATGTAGATTTCAGGCAATGGTGATATAACGCTTTTTGTGTCAAACCGATCTATAAATTCACCAAATTCCTATCAAAATCTCGCATGTATTTTACACTACTTGACAAGCTGATTCTCAAGTTTTTCTTTTTTTCTCTTTAATCTCTCTCTCTCTCTCTCTCTCTCTCTCTCTCTCTCTCTCTCTCTCTCAGGTTTATTTAAGGTAGCTGTCATTAGATATACCAGAAGAAGGCATCAGAACACATTACAGATGGTTGTGAGCCACCATGTGGTTGCTTGGAATTGAACTCAGGACCTCTGTAAGAGGAGACAGTGATCTTAACCTCTAAGCCATCTCTCCAGCCCCGATTCTCAAGTTTATACTGTGGGGCCGAGTGTTAAGAGCAGACTGGTTCTGAGGAAAAAGAGTAAACACAGTACTTCTTCTCTTACCTGACTTTTATATAGCTGCCATGAGAAGGGGGCAGATACATCTGTATGTATTAAATTACTTTTGCTCTTAAAAAGATACTAATGAAACCTGGTTGGGAGCTCAGGGTCAGTTAAGAACTAGCTGCACAGGTGAGGATCTGTGTTTGGATCCCCAAGAACCTACACAGGGCGTGTCCACGGGATGTGGTGGCTCTCCTAGAATTTGAGCCTTGAAAAGCAGGACAAGAAAGTATTCCCAGAGCAAGCAAGCTCTGAGTAGCCATGGTAGTCAAATCTGGGTTTGACTGGAAACCTGCCTTACTGAGTAGGGTAGAACTTGAATAGTTGTTATTGCTCCTGTCTTAGAGTACAGGTTCCTGCCTGGCATCCAGAGTTGAATATAATTAACTATTTATCATTTTCAGTTTTACAACACAAAGGCAACAAAATAAAAACTTAAACATAAGTATACAAGTGAGATGGTAAAGGAATGTGCTCCCCAGGAATTTGTGTAGATAACCTGAGTACAGCTGCTGCAGTACGTGGAACTGACACACTGACCGCAGAATTGCTGTAAAGCACCACCTACCATATAGTTCAAGTCTGTACAGTGTTCTGAGAGCTACCAGTGCTTTTCTTTCCAGCGAGAAAGTCCACCTGCTGGCTGGTTGGCTTCTGTGGGCTGCACTGAGCAGCATGACGGGAGTGGACACACTGGTGGCCCCTTGCAGCAGCATGAACTCAGTCCCCACCCTATCAGTGCTGGCCTGACCCTGACCTCAACACAGCCCTAACAATGCCCTTCCAATACCTGCTGTTTTCCCAGGGCTTGGCTTGTTCCCCAGATTCAGCAACCCTCACACTGTTCTGGAACAACTGTTGGGGACAAGATTAGACCAGCTGCATCAAAAGCCTCCTCCACTTCTTTGAGGGGCTGAAGGAGGGGGTGTCAAAAGGCTCAACAAAGTAAGCAGAAGCCAAAGATCATGGAGCCACAAACAGATGCTGAAGACTTTGTACCTGCTTTCACCTGTCACAAGCCCCTCACCGGATCACCCTCCAGTCTCCACTGCTTTATCCCCACATACTGTCTCCACATACTCGATGCCCTTTCGACCCAGGATCCTGCCCTTGGACTTGGCTGCAATCGTTCCTATCCTGGCACCAACTGTTTATCTGTGTCTGCCAGATTTCTACTTGACCTATTCTGATCCTTTCTAAAGATGTCTTTCCTTCCTAACAGGTGTTTCCCAGACTCACTTTCCTTCTTCACCCATCCCCTGCCTCACACAACTTTCCTTTTGTAGGGAGTTAATTCAATAGTCTTTGAGTTGTAATCTAGAGATATTCTCATTCCTTGCTAACAAACACAATGGTTACTCAAAGGATCATTTGAGTATAAAAGTTAAAAATGTATAGGCATCATCTTCCTACAAACTTCACAGATGCTGTAAGATGACTAATAAGATCATTACATAAAAATATTAATGTCTGACCAAAGTGGCTCTCAACTATGCTGTAGATGGTCAGATAGTCAGGTTTTTGTCTTGAACAAATCATTCTGTAATTTCACCCTTTCAAGCTAACAAAATAGATCCTTGAATTCTTAAGTGCTAAGAATATTAGATCAAAAACATTACTATATTTTACTTAGTGAAAAGAATAGTGCAGTGCACTAGGTCATAATATCTACGCACAGGAGAATTCCTAGCTTTGAGCCTTGGGATTTCCAGAAGTGGTTTACTATGACTACATCTTGAGTTAGCAATTCTAATGGAAGCTTCCCAGAAAGGAGAGCATCAATTACATAGTAAATAATTATGACAGCCCACTATTTACCAGTAGTATCACATATGCACAGGAGTGCAAAACTTAGCTTCCATGTGAATGATTAATTAATTAACTCAAGGTCCCATATCTGGATGTTGAGAGACCTAACATATGGTTCAACACTTAGTAAACAGTTGTTGATGTTATCTGTATTGTTTGAAAGCTAAGACCCTTGGGTTGGACTATAGTCTCTTTCATCACAGAAAAATTTTAAAGTTTGAACATAATAAATTATACCCTGGTTATTAAATTCTTCTCATGAATATCACTGTAAGAAAAAAATGTAATTTGCAGAGTTATATACTAACTCTGAAACAACAAAGTAGTTTTAAATTTTCTACAGAGGGAGAAAGAAATCCAGAGAAGAAAGTGAGAAGTCCCAGCTGAGTCCATTGCAGCAAAGATCTTACTTGCAGTATGGGGACTGTTAGACTGTTTCCTTCCCACCACTCAATATCTGGTTAAAGATTTATTTTAAGTGTGTTCGTGTCTGTATTTTGTGCCTCTTTGTATGTATGTGACTACAAGTGCAGATGCCCAAAGAGACCAGAGGTGTCTGAGCCCACCCACCCTCTGGAGCTGAAGTCACAGGCAGCCCTGAACTGCCTGTTGCAATGTTACTAAGTATTAAGAACTGAATGTGGGACCACTATAAGAAGAGTACTGGCTCTTAACCACTTAGCCATTTCACCAGCCCTGGATATGTTTCTTAATAAAAAATTAGAACTCAGGTTGCTCCAAGACTTTGGCTTGAATGAACAAACACAGATGTGTCTAACCTAGCCTGAAAAGAACAAGGCAGTTTGGGTATTAGACCTCACTCCTAGCTCATACAGAGCAACAAGCCTTCAGGTTTCTTGGCTGCACAAAAAAAGATCGGTCTCTCCCTCAGTTCCCAGCATGCTCAGCTGCCCTGGCCAGGAGCTCTAATTTTCCAGAGTCCCATAACCTTATGCCCTTGGCCCATTTCCACACCCTGTATCTATCCTTCTTATTTTGTTTCTAATTCTCTTTGTCTCTGAGCATAATAATTACTCACCCTGTCTATGAAATGCAACATGAACAGCTAAGAGACAGACATTAAATGATAAACTGTGGTAAATAATCCATGTGAACTCACAGGCCCTTCCAAATCTTACGCTGCCCATCTAACACGTCCTTGACACCAGCATGTTTCCACCAAGTAGAGAGGAGACCCAAGAGGGATGAATGCTTGACAGTGTAAATGCTACAAACCTTCCAAGAACCCGCCTATCTTCGCCACATCACTGTGCCACCCTGAGAATTCCTCTCAGTGTTTTCTCTCATTCCAGAAACATTTACTATGATGGTTAAGAATACCTGCATTACAAACTCTCGACGGCGGGGCATTCCTCGTTCTGAAAGTAAAACGTAATCAGGCTCCTTTTCTTTTCTGGTCTGCTGGATTTGAGCCAGGCGGCTAATGGGGTTCATTCCTTGACCATACTCAGGTCCAGCCTAAAAACATAAGAAAAATTTCAGAATCTCGATTACAAAATGTATTAGACCCTGGAAAATGCAGTGGTTCTCTACCACATCCCCAGCTTAGCAAAACTGACTAAAAAAGACAAACCAGTCATGAGAAAGATTTGTAATTGAAATCTGTAAAATGGACCCAACATTTAGGCTTCCATGGGATTGGCTACAGAAATAGTAGAGATAATGTGCTTATACTTTAAAAACTGGGTGATCTCTTCAGTGTGGGACGTTGCTCCACACCCTCTGTTCACAAATAATGGCAAAAAGCAGAACAGGACCTGTTCTGACATGAACTGTAAACAGACACTTGCAATACATAACTTTAAAAGATGGATTCCAATAATCAGTGAGTGAATACCATGTGTGTTCTTTTGTGATTAGGTTGCCTCACTCAGGATGATATTTTCTAGTTCCACCCATTTACCTAAGAATTTCTCGAATTCATTGTTGCTAATAGCTGAGTAATACTCCATTGTGTAAGTGTACCACATTTTCTGTATTCATTCCTCTGTTGGAGGACATCTGGGTTCTTTCCAGCTTCTGGCTATTATAAATAAGGCTGCTATGAACATAGTTGAGCATATGTCCTTGTTATATGTTAGAGCATCTTTTGGGTATATGCCCAGGAGTGGTATAGCTGGATCCTCAGGTAATGCTATGTCCAATTTTCTGAGACTGATTGATTTCCAAAGTGGTTGCACCATCTTGCAATCCCACCAACAATGGAAGAGTGTTCCTCTTTCTCCACATCCTCGCCAGCATCTGCTATCACCTGAGTTTTTGATCTTAGTTTCTGACTGGTATGAGGTGGAATCTCAGGGTTATTTTGATTTGCATTTCCCTGATGACTAAGGATGTTGAACATTTCTTTAAGTGCTTCTCGGCCATTCGAGTTTCCTCAGTTGAGAATTCTTTGTATAGCTCCATACCCCATTTTTAAATAGGGTTATTTGGTTGTCTGGAGTCTAATTTCTTGAGTTCTTTGTATATATTGGATATTAGTCCTCTATCAGCTGTAGGATTGGTAAAGGTCTTTCCCCAGTCTGTTGGTTGCCGTTTTGTCCTTAGAAGGAGTAACAAAATATTCAAGGGAACAAATATGGAGACAAAGTGTGGGACAGAAACTGAAGGAGGGGCCCTCTGGAGACCATTCAACCTGGGTATCCATCCCATGTGCAGTCACCAAAGGCAGATGCTGATGTGGATGTCAGGAAGTGCATGCTGACAGGAGCCTAGTATAGCTGTGTCCTTAGAGGTCTGCCAGAGTTTGACATATTCCGAGGTGGATGCTCACAGCTAACCATTGAACTGATCAAGGGGTTCCCAACAGAAGAGTTCAAGTGAAGACTGAAGGAGCTGAAAGGGTTTGCGGCCCCATGAGGAGAGCAACAGTACCAACCAACCAGAGCTCCCAGGGTCTAAACCACTAGCCTGGGAGCACTTAGGGAGGGACCCATGTCTCCAGCTGTATATGTAAGGGAGGATGGCCCTGTCAAGCTTAGGTGGGAGAGGAGATCCTTGGTCCCATGAAGGCTGGATGCCATGTGTCCGGGGCACATCCTCATAGAAGCAGGAGGAAGGGAGATGGGATAGGGGGTTGCTGGGCAGGGAGGGGGGGAAATGGGAAAGGGGATAACATCTGAAATGTAAATAAAATATCCAATAAAAACAAAAAGATGGATTCCATCTTCAAACATTACTTTTAGAACCTCCTAAAATGTATTACGAAAAAGAAGACAGGTTAAAAAGTGATGAATAGATGTATCACAAGAATGCAAGTAGGAAAATGACTAGTCAACTTCATTAGAACTTGGCAAATGCACATTAAAACCATGATGAAATAAGATTATATACCCACCAGCTTGGGGAATTTGAGAAGTCTAACAGCCCCAACAGGTAAGAAGGAGTGCTGGATAGGTTTATGTCAACTGACACAAGCCAAAGTTACCAGAAAGGAGGTAACCTCAATAAAGAAAATGCCTACATAAAATCCAGCTGCAGGCAACCCTTTGGGGCCATTTTCTTAATTAGTGATTGAAGTGGGAGGCCCAGCCCATTGTGCATGAGCCAGCCCTGGACTGGGTAGTCCTGGGTTCTATAAAAAAACAGAATGAACAAGCCATGATGAGAAAGCCAGTAAGCAACACTCCTTCATGGCCTCTACATCAGCTCTTGACTCCAAGTTCCTGTCCTGCTTGAGTTCCTGTCCTCACTTTCTTTGATGATGAACTGGGATGTGGAAGCATAAGCCGAATAAACCCTTCCCTCCTCAAGTTTGATCATGGTGTTTCATTACAACATTAGAAACCCAACTAAGTTCAAAGGGAAATAACAGAAGCTTGTTTTAGACAAGAGTGGAGTATAAGAGGGTAAGCTCACTACGTTACCCAGGATGACTGAACTAAATTCTAAACTAAAAGGAGTCCTGAGTAGCCCAAACTATGAAGCACATTTCACCACACTAGCAAGAAATACAGCAGAAGGGATGGAGAGAGCTAGAAAAAGTTCTCTGGAGATGTTTAAGGGAGGTACCAAGAAGATCTGATGATTGTAAGGATGAAAAGAAATCTCACTGCCAGACAGTTGGTACCACCAGCCACTAGATGAGAAACACTGAAAGATTAACGACATGGCAAATTGTGGACCCTGAACTTGAGGTGCCTGTGAATTATTAAGCAGTAATGTGGAACACATGATGGAGAACAGAAACTTGGGAATCATTTCTCTAAAGACTGAAGTGAACAACACTAGATGTAAAGGAGAAATAGGAAAAGAACAGAAGACCTCAAACCTCAGAGCCAGTACAAGTGGCTCAGTGATAAGGTACTTGACGCCCAAACTGGAGGGATGTCCTGAACTCAGTCACTATGGGGGTACAGAGGGAGTCAGAGAACAGATTCCTCTAGGTTGTCCTAGGATCTCTACATATATGCCACAATGTACACATACAAACACAAAATATTTTTTTAAAAAAGATTGTAAACCTCACAACTGCAATGATTCGGCTGGCCATGAGAGCAATGGGGATGGTTAGCTCTTGCTAGGGTACTACCACAAGCAAAACTGCAGATCAAATACATTATAAAAGGTCATTTGCAGAGTATGAGTGATCAGATTGCAGAAAGGGGAGGGGGCTCTAATTAGGGACTGGGAGGGAGTTAAATACAAAAGGAAGGAAGGGTAAATTAACAGTAAGCATGACTTAAAAAGTCATAAGAAATCATATAATTAATTGAAACAAAACAATGACACATGTGAGTCCATGTATACATAAATACATAGTTTAAACGAAATTTTCACCTGTAGGCTGACAATGTTCCTTCCATAGCTAAAGATCACCTAATAAAAACCCCAATATCAGGCATGAGAAGCCCCTTTTTGAGTTTTTGTTCAGAGATGTCAGACTCCCAAAATGTTTCAGACTACTGATACTGCCCTTGGTTGCCAACCAGAGGTGGAAGGTAAGTTCCTATTGCTGATGACACCACCATGCTTTGCAGACACAGGGTTCAGAGGTCCCTGAGGAGGAACTAACCTGAATGCCCACTCCCTGAGGACCAGCTTTCATGGTACCAGAAGGCATCATGCAAGCTTCCAGAGGGTGACAAGCAACAGTTCTACCCAGCTATATGCCTATGAAGCACATCAAATACCATCGTGATACAATAACTCTAAGGGTACAATAGTGGCACACATACCTTGGAGGTATCCAACAGCTCTCTACTTGGACTTATGACCTGTTCAACAAGAGAGAAATCATGCCTATTACTGGAAACCCAGCCAGCTACCCAGAGTTAGGGAAGTCATGGATCTTAGACAAGAAAATATAACCAACACTTTAATGAATCAGCATAATCCCTGACTACATACTAAACATTAGTCCTTATACTCACAGGTAAATGTAGTCCTCACCCCTCATCTAGGAAACTTCTGTTTGCAACAGATGGAGACCTTTAGAAAACTACAGCGAATGAGAATGTAGAGTTGTGGAGCCTAGTCCCAGATCTATAAAACAACTCCTGCACTCAAGGCTCAGGGAACACTGCAGCAAGGAGGCTGAAAGACTGTAAGAGCCAGGGGATCAGGGATTTGCTATGAGACTGTGTCTCCTAGTAAAGTCAGAAGCAACATCTACACAAGAACTACCGGCATTAAGGAATGCTGGGAGGGAGAAACACAGCAATTAATAAAAAACAGGGCTGGGTTTCAAAGAGCAAGGAGGGCACAAGCGAGGGCATGGAGAGACAACGAGGAAGGAGAAAATGGCACAATTATATCATAATCTCAAAAATAAAGTAAGAACTTTCAAAAAAGGTCACTGAAAGTGAGAGTCTAATAAAAAGGTTAAAAAGAAGCTATGGGTGAACCCTGGCACACTTAGAAGTAGCCACCATACACATGAAGATGCTCAAATAAATCTGTGTTTCCAATGAGAGACTTTCTGTAATGTCTTTTGCTGTTAAATCTCAGGCTCTTCTAAGAATGTCTCTATGTTCCAAAGAACTACTATTGATATAGATTTTAGTGACAATCAACCATATGCATAAATAAAAATTAGGTAAAGGGGGCTGGAGAGATGGCTCAGCGGTTAAGAGCACTGACTGCTCTTCCAGAGGTCCTGAGTTCAAATCCCAGCAACCACATGGTGGCTCACAACCATCCATAGTGAGATTGGATGCCCTCTTCTGGTGTGTCCGAAGACAGCTACAGTGTACTCATAATAAAAAAAAATTAGGTAAAGTTAGAAATCTGAGAAGATTGTTAGTGACTTGACTTTGTCCTTTGTTTGAAATTAAGTACTATGGCCTTGACAGTTCAGTTAATCCTTAAATATCAAGTTCCAGATTATCCTAAAAATCAGTAAGGACAGTCTTACAAATTGTTGTGTCCAGAAAATTTTATCTCCAATGCTAGAAAGCCTCCTTTGAAATCTTATCTTACAGAAGACAATTATATTAAAGAACAGATAAAACCTAAAGGCATCATCTGATAAGCTGTACATAGTAGAAGGGCGACTCCATACATCATCTTTCCACCCAAAGGGAGTTCACGGTTAACCAGCTCCCAGTGGACACTACAGGTGGAAATAACTGGATCTGAAACCTGACTCTGGGTGGAAACTTGTGGTCCTCAAATATAAATGACTACCCTGTACAACAGCATGACATATCACAAAAACACTAGGATAATAAGACAATGTGACGGTTTTTATTAATTTAGGCAAAATGAAGGTAACTCATTACAGATATTTTCTTAACTTGTCTACAGAACATAAGTAATCATAGCATCCCAGATGAGTAAGATATATAAATCTATAAGAAAAATAATAAAAACTCAAGATAATATTCCAGACAAACTATTTATTGGCCTACAATATAATTATATTTAAAATCATCTAGATTGCAGCTCATTACATGAATGCTCCTTTCTCAAAATAGCCTACACTTCAGAAAATCTCCAAGTCTTATTTTACATAAGACAGACAGAGCACAAGTAATTCCAAGTGTGATGTATGTACAAAAAAATGCAGGGGTGGTTATCCAGTGCAGGAGCAGGAGAGGCACAGCGAAGCCTTCTGTGAAGAAGTTAAGTTTAAATAGAGATGTGAATGATGAACAGAACATTCCAGAATAACATACTTATATACTAAAAGCACTGTTTCCTCTATCCCTAAGCAGTTATAGTTAACAGGGGAATTAGAATTATATAACATTTTAGAACCGTATGTATCTTGTCTAGCTTAACAACTTAATATTCTTAGTTTATTAAGATTGGGCTGAATTTAATAGATGTCACGATCAATCTTACATGACCATTTGATATAATGCACAATTCTGCCTTCATAGAAAAGCTAGAGACTTTCTACAGAGTCTTTTTGATAAATAGTGTGACATTCATGCGACTAGACAGCAACTAGAGCAGACAAGTAATATGCCTCCTTAATATCTGAGTGATTAATACAGAAGTAATTTAAAACTATTTCATACTTATGCATTCTGTGCATGCTTCAGTAAAGACTTAATCTTATGAAGCAAGTGTCAGTATTATCTACACTTAAAGGATGTCAACACTATGCAACTTGCTGAGGCCAGGAAGTCACCCTCAAAACTGACTGCCAAGGTTTCACTAATAACAGCTCCACCTGCTCTCTGGCCAGGTGCTTAGGACAGAGGACACCCTGCTCCTCCTCAGGACCACTGCAGCTCATGATCAGTAGAGCCATGTGCTATTTGTTTCTACCATTTATCTCCATCTTACACATAACATGTAATACTGTTTCAGGGAATGCACAATTGGCACTTTCTTCTAAGAAATACAAAGTTTTCATTAAAAACAGCATGTAGAATTCATTTCTGCATACATGTATCTATTTTCATATACAGCAGAGGAAAAGGTGAAAATCTGTAAAAATGTACGAAGTGTGCCACTGCACAATTCAAACAGAGGAATGATGACTCACTGATAATTATTAACTCTTACGTGCAGCCCTTGATTCATATGTGCAATGTGTCTGTGTGTGACAAGTGAGCTGAGCCAGGAACTGAAATGCAGCAATTTGAGGTTTACTCTAGCTGTATAAAACACAACTTCCACTCATGTCATCCACACTATACAGCTGACACCCTGCTAAACACCAAGTCATCCACTCCCAACTTTGCCTTTTTTACCTTTCTAATGTAACTAAAATATGACCCAATTAAAAAAATGGTTATAACACCTTGAAAGTCTATGTGTTCTGGATTTTTCCTTTGCAGGGAACGTGGCGGGAATGAATGAAAAACAAAACACATATGTTGGCCTCAGAGTTCTCCTCTAAGGATTAAGCATGACAAAGCACATACAGCATTGGACAATGTCAGGCACACAGGGTGCTTTACAGTTTCCACTTGATGCTGCTGTCGTCCCTGATAGTATTACTACATGTTATCATCCTGTGTCCTGTTACAGTTCATGGTATCCTAAGAAATGACAGTGCAGTTGGCAGAGCTGCTGCTACTGTAAAACAGTGCATGAGAGGGGTTTTTGCTCCTCCACAAGATGGCCAAATACAAGTGAGAAATTATCCGAGCATTTTTTATAAAGCTTAACTTAGAAAACAAGGAATAGGGGCTGGAAGAAAAGCTCAGAGGGTAAAATGCTGGCTTCCCGTGTATGAGGACTACAGTTCAGGTCTGTGTCACTCACAAAAGTACCTACTGGCATAGAGGCCAGCCTATAATCCTAGAATGCAATGGGCAAAGATTGGATATTCCCAGAGCAGGATGGTTAGCTGAATTTGTAAGCTCTGGATTCAATTGCAAGCCCCTGCCTCAAAGAATACATGGGGAATGATAAAGGACACCTAATGTAAACCTCAGGCCTGAATATACAGACACAGATAGACACTTGCCCAGATACATGCAAACACACATACATATATGTATGCACACCACATAAAATAAAACAAGGGATATATCATCTACTTTATATGGTCATGATGTGAATTGTACTCAAAAAGACACAAATGGATGCTAGGAAGCATAAATATATAAAGAAGTAAAATTATCACTGATTTATCATCACATGATTGCATCTTGATTTAGAACAGGAAGCAAGTAAGAAAATCAGTTGGGAGGATGAAAGAGGAAGAGACAGAGGGAGACAAAAAGGAGAGGAGGAATCTACCAAACCTGTGTCAACAGCCTATAGATAGTATACTACAGTAACATGTCACTTAACAATGGAGTCATCCTGAGAAAATATCATTCCACGATATGTGTACAGACACAGTCCTAGATGATACATATAGTTTGTGTAACTTAGGCTGTGTGGTGCAACAACTGTTCGTAGGCTACAAAGCTTTTTGCAGCATGTTACTCACTAGAAACCCAAGAGAACTCTAACTCAGTGGTGTTTGCAATATTTAAATTATATAAATATATATAAACATAAGCAAGTATATTAAAATGTTATACAATTTCTCTGCTCTATTATATCTTATAGGAAAACAATCACATACATGATCTATATTGACCAAAACTACCATGTTGTGGCCCATCACTACAGTAATTAAGAAAAATAAATGGATAGTCACAAGTATATGCTTACCTTGACTATTGTTTTAGGGCGTTTTTTAAAAAATAGTTTTGGCTTCTCTACCACAGGAAGAGGTGGGAGTTTTTTAAGCTCCTGTAAGACAGTAGTTGCAGCACGCTTCTTGGAGAGTTTTTTGCTATTTCCCTCTCCTTCTGCAGAAAATTCTCCCACTGACACCCGCGTAACAAAACTCTTCATATGTGGTGGTCCGCTTTCTTTAATGACCTAGTAAATGCAAGCAAAATATTAATCAACATGCCAGTATTTGTGTTTACCAGCATGAATCTTGAAAGCCTCTCCAACTAGTCTGGAGAACAATGCCAAAATTATAGTATCTCCTTAAGACAGCTATTTTGAAGGTATGATATCAGTAATGTTAATGTAAAACATTTCTAATTCTAAATTAACCAAAAGTGAAAGAAATCCTAACATGTAATTTACAGTCAGTCATGGTGCCGCACGTCTTACAGAACACAAAGCTAAGAGCACAGAACACACCAAACTGGCTATGATCCCATACTAGATAAGCCATCTAGAGTAAAAATAACATTACTACATATACGTCTAGTGCTGTCTCCTATCAGGGTGAGACATCAGAAGCCCAAGATGGTGCTTTTCAAAGATAAAGTCTCACACAATGGTCCATCTTATATGATCACCATATATAGGACCACATATATGACTAGGAATCTACAAGATCATAGTGGAGGAGCAGAAAAACTGTGTAGCATTTCTGTCTGTTTACATGTTTAAATATTTCAAACACAGCTCAGTTATGAAGCATCGTCTTGTGGCAGATTTTCAAAAAAAAAAAAAAAAAGGAAAGAGATAAAAATTAACCTCTTGTTGGAGACCTGAAAGGTTATTTTTACTGGGGATTCAAACTCTTGGGGATTCTGGTGATGTGCTCTAGATGGTATACTGACAGACCATAAAAATGTGCAGGTTCTCAGTGTCAAGAATTAAGGAACCTTCAATATTCCTAACCATTCAATGTATTCTTACATTTAAATTATATCAGTTTATAGAGGAAAGATAGATGTCAAGTCCTAAGTACTCAAAATGCAAGTTTCCTTTAAAATTCTGACCTAAAGAACACATAGTATTTGGTTTACCACTTAATATTATATTGGAATTTTATCTTCTACTATTGGAGTCCAATTAGGAAAAGGAATTTTAAAAAATACAGTATCTCAATAACTCAATATCAATGGAATCAGGAGTTAGTTTAAGTATACTTTCCAGGTAACTTAAGTTCACCAATTTAAACACCAACTGTTTACTTTCATACTCTGATGCACAAGCCTATCAGTTACCAAAGTAATTTCTTGGGCTAGGGAGATGGTCTAGCAGTGCAGTGAGATACCTGCTGTACAAGCAGTGAGGCACTGACCTCAGGTGTCTACCATCCATGTAAGAACCAAGCACTGCTGCTTGGTAAACCCAACACTGGGTGACATGGAGTCAGACAGACCCATGACATTCATCGGCCGGCCAGCCAAGACAAATTCTGAGTTCAATGTGAGACCTTTTCCCAAAAAATAAGGTAGAGAAAGGCCCCTAGTTCATGTCTGAGTCTGGCACTCTCCACCCAATAGGAATAAAATGAGCAACCTCACACACACAGAGCGGGATTTAGTGAAACAACAGGGGAGCTGTGTGTTTAGTCGTTTAGTGCTCATGCTGTATCATCAGTATGTGCATCAAATACTCTAACATAACACACAGATACGCAAAGGGCTTGTGTGACTTCTGCTCTACACTCCAAGTATCAAGGGCGTGAGAGGCTTCACAAGGTTCCCCAGCAACTTCTTGTTGGAATCAGTCTGCTGTCATGTACTCTCTCTCTCTCTGCCTTCCTTACTGGCTACTTTCAACCTGCTATGGGACAAGAAGTTGGGTAATCTGACTTGTCAGAGTTGTATTCAAGAATAAAGCAGTTTCTCCGTCCACGTTCCTTCCGATGGGTACAGTGCAGGAGGTCCTCTCTGTATAAATGCCGTGTGGACTCAGGACTAAGTCTCCGACGGTCCTGAGCTTACTTCCTCCTTCTTCCCACTTTCTGTCTATGACCTTGAAAGTTGGTGACCTCTTACTATGGAAGGCATATAAAATTATTTTTAAGGTTTTTTTCCTTTTAAAAAATTTTGTACAATTCTATAAATATTAAGTTTGTGCATATTTAGTTGTAGAAAGCTATCTCATTTTTAGTGATTTGTCAGTTAATGTTAAAAAAAACACATTCTGGGGAGCAGGGTAGTTCAACTCTAGAGTTTGTACTTAGCATGTGGCAAATTCCCAGGTACAACTCCCAGCATTTTCCCCAAAACAAGTCAAACATGATTTGATCTCCATACAATGAAAAGGAATTGAATGTTAGCATAGTATCACAAAACACTAGTTCAACTCACAACTTGAATTAAATAGAATCAAATTAATGATAAATAAATAAAACACTAAATCCTATAGATTAACAGAAATTATGATTAGAAAACAAATCTTACAGTCAAACCTGAAAAGTCATGTAAAAAGGTGGCCTAGTACAGGAAAGAAGGAGACTCACAATGCTCCTAATATTACAATGCTTCCATTTCTCTGAGGCACAAATCATTTCACGGCAATGGATCTCAATACAAGAAGCATGTGCACAGCTGCCAAGAATCTAGTATACCATTTAGCTTGTTTAAATAACCAAAGAAAAGCACATGAACACATACCTCAAAACTGACGGGCATATTTCTCTTCAGCGCAATCTCAAACACTAAGCTTATTTCAGATTTATTTGCATCTTTATCATCATCCATTTCTTTTCCTGATTCACCATTCTAAGTAAAAACAAAAAACAAAAAACAGGGTAGCGTTGGAGCCAGACATCCCAACAACACTCACATTGTTTCGCAATCAGTTGGGCCTAATTACAAAGTTTGAAATAGCTGACCTAGACATGGACAGTGGACTCTCCTGAACTCTCAGGGTCAAGGGCTAGGCTTTCAGATCAAGTTTTGTTTTATTTGAAGTAGAAGCAGCAAATTCTGAGTTTGAAGATCTTCTACTCAACCATATATTCTTTAGACCTAATTCTTTTACTACAGAGTTGTGAACCTGCCTCTCTCCGCAACTGTGATTCTAACATGACCCTTGGGCTAACATAATAGACAGTACAGGACACAAACTAAGAAATCAGAAGAACTGTGTTTGGACTTACTCACATTTTTAATACATAATTCTGGAGGGCTGAACGAAGCATGTATGAGATAAGAAAATAAAGGGACAATTCTTGCTACCAAGAAGCTTATGTCTAATTAGAAGTAGTTAATAGTTGCAAGGAACATGCAACAGAAAAAAAAAAAAAAAGTGTGTCCATCATTATGACAAATTTCACACAAAGAAGACTTCCTCATTTGGCTAACAGATAATCTAGGAGGCCAAACTGTAAAGTTTGACTAACTTAGGCAGAAAATATTAAGACACTGACTATACATAGGAAATGCCTGGACTAGAGATATTATTTAACTTCAATAAAGAAAGTAGATGAAATCTTAAGAACGAGTAAAATCAGGAGCTGGAGAGATAGCTCAGCAGTTAAGAGCACTGACTGCTCTTCCAGAGGTCATGAGTTCAATTCTCAGCAACCACATGGTGGCTCACAACCATCTATAATGGGATCTGATGCCCTCTTCTGGTGTGTCTGAAGACAGCGACAGTGTACTCACATACATAAAATAAATAAATCTTAAAAAAAAAAAAAGGAATGGGTAAAATCACCCAAGAATAGCCTTAATGTTTTAATTTGCAAACTAAAGTAGGATGCCAAATTCTCAAATGATCTCCTCCTCTTTACATTCCTTGACCTCTGGCTGGGGATGAGGTTCACTTGGGAGAGTGCTTATCTTTAAAGCATGAGGCTTTAGGTTCAATTCCCTGAACTGCTGAAATATGTTGTGGAGCTTGCGTACATTCCTTGATCTCAACTTAACATAATGTAATCTATGTCCAATACAAGGAGCATTAAATGTAAGCAAATGAATGTTACTCTTCATCTTTATACACACATTCCTAAATCCCATGTTACCAGCAAGTGACCGCCACAGGTGAACCAGGGCTGTCCCAGCAGGAACATATGAGACTAGTATACTAACAGGCACCTGAGAGCAAACTGCCATGACCCTTCCTTAGCTGAACAGATTATTTCTTTTCTTACACAATTAGTTTATTGTCTGCTCAGAACCCTCCCTGAGGTAGCACACTCATCACACTCATCAGTGCCACACCTGAGGCGACTTTTCTGGAATTGGCTCATTCTGTAGGGCTTGAAGCGCTTTCATGGCAGCGTTGTGTCTGGCAGCTTGTCGAGTCTTCCCTTCACCAAAGAATTCATTATTTCCTACAGTCAACTGAACATAGAAGATCTTGGGCATTGGGCAATGATACCTACAGAAAGAAAACACAAGCATTAGTGGTAGCTCAGAAGCAGTCTATAACCACTTGTAACCATAAGATTATTTCACTTAAAATGTTAGCAACTGTGATGTACTGCATATTCTCTTACCAATCCAAATAAAATTTTAACCTCATGCATATATATCTAAGGTAAAATGTGAGTCAATATATCTATACATAATAGTGTACACTGACTTCCATGAAAAATGTAACATTTCTACATTCCTTAAGATCAAATGACTAGCTTCCAAGTGCATGTAAGAACATGTAGTACTTTTCTTTCTGTGCCTGATTCACTTTACTAACATAATGTCTTCCAGCTCCATCCCTGTTGCTACATATGCAACAATCTCATTCTTTTTATGACTGAGTAACATTCCATTGTTATTCATATTTTCTTTAGCTCTTTGTCCATTGGTGGATACCTAGGTTGAGTCTAAATCATGGTGACCATGAATACAGCCATAAACATGTGACTACAGATGTCTCTTCAAAATCAGTTCCACTGGGGAGCCACATGTGGTAGTTCTATTTCTAGGATTGATGTGTTTTGTTGTTTTTGACATTGCTGTTTTTGAGGAATCTCTATGCCATTTTCGATAATGAATGGCCTAACCTACATCCTCAACCGTAGGAAATTAAGAGTTCTCTGTTCTACTTGTCCTTGTATTCTGGTTTCTCACCGCAGTTTGATGCACATTTTTGATTCGGGGCTGAGCAGTACTTAGGTTAATTCTTACATAGGAAGTTCGAGGCCAGGAGTTAGACAGACTCCCTGATAAGCAGACAGACAGGGAGAGGGGCCATAGCTAGAGAATAATGGTGGCCTATTTTCAGGATGGCCAGAATCTACCTCAACATCCTAACTTGAGACAAAAGCCTAGTAGCTTAAAACAAAGGCTATGGAGGCTTCTGTCTCCTACCTACAGGCGCCTGATGATGAACTGGCTCAATAAGTTCAAGTCAGGTCACTTAGTTCTGGGCTAATCAACAATAACTTCCTTCAAACTGACCAACCCTAGAGTAGGGAGGCTTTCTTCTTCGAAAAGAAACTGGATGTTTCATCTTCCGGAGGCCCCTCTTTGCTTTGAATAGGGTCTTACTCTCTGTGTGTCAGCTGCATGTGTGTGCTTGCTCACCCCAGGTAACACCTTTCTGAACAGCTAATTCTGAATATGGAGCCTGAGATCTGTCTGTTACCACCTGTTGAGCTATAGATTCTCCTGCATTTCAGCTTTTTAACTGGCAGAGAAAATGAACCAGATCCCTATCTCTAGACTATATTGTTTCTAGACTGCATCAGAAATAGCATAACAAAAAAAGGTCATGGTTGAAAAACCTACCCAAGTTTTGTGTTTAATGAAACAGGGAGCAAAGTGTGAGTAGCAAACTGTAGTCATGCAGCTGAGGGGGTAAGAGGCTGAGAGAAGAAAGAGCACATCTAAAAGAAATTTTAATAACTAGGATATCTGATAAAAATCTATCAACTCAACAATTACCTATAGAGTGTCTTTTTATGACAGGACACTGTGAAAAAACAAACAAACAATATAGTAGGGAAAACAAACAGTAAGAAATGTACATAGACCCCCTCTACCTGGCCCTTTTTGCTGGGGCAAACTCATAGCTGGTCTGCTCCTGGGAAGACACCATATTCAGACCCATCTGAGATAATCCGCTGCACTCAGAGGAGTTGATAAGACCCCTCCCCCATAACCCAAAGTCCCAAAGCTGCACTGAAAGACCAGAAGCATACCAGGGACCCATCTCCCACCAAAACCCCACCCTCAAGAATACCACTCCCCTTCTGCCCCGTCCGCCTGGCCCTTCTTCCTGGGGCATACTTATAGCTGGTCTGTTCCCAGGAAGACATCATATTCAGACCCAGCAAAGAGGATCTGTTTCACTCAGAGCAGTTGAGGATCCACTGCACTCAGAGCAGTTGACTCCTATCTGGTCTGCTCCTGTGAAGACACCACACCCTGACCTATTGGCACGAATTCCTTCTGTTCTGAACTGGTGCACTGAGCAGACCTTGGATGCTGCCTCTGCAACCAATCTCACAATACCCACAGGAAGCTAGACTCCCAGGAGATCTGACACCCCTAGGATCATAGACGAAGATGGACACCCAGGAGCTCTAACACACCCAGGATGGTAGGATTATAGGACCCCAGAGGCAGCCTGAGTCCCAGGAGCTCTTCCACCCAGAATCATGGAACAGAGGGACAACTGGACTCTGAGAAGCTCTGATACAACCAAGATTAACAGGATAGACAGGCTCCAGTCAGAGACACTGAGTGCAGGTAGCACTAGAGGTAACCAGATGGCAAAAGGCAAGCACAAGAATGTAAGCAATAGAAACCACGGTATCTTGGCACCATCAGAACCCAGTTTTCCGACCATAGCAAGTCCTGGATACCATATCACACAGGAAAGTCAAGAGTCAGATTTAAAATCACTTCTCATGATGATGATAGAGGACTTTAAGAAGGACATAGATAATTCCCTTAAAGAAATACAGGAGAACACAGGTAAACAGGTAGAATCCCTTGAAGAGGAATCATAAAAAATCCCCTAAAGAAGAACATGAAAACACAGCAAAACAGGTGAAGGAATTGAACAAAACCATGCAGGACATAAAAATGGAAGTAGAAATAATAAAGAAACCAAAGGGAAACTACCCTGGAGATAGAAAACCTAGGAAAGAGACCATGAGTCATGGATGTAAGCATTACCAACAGAATGCAAGAGCTAGAAGAGCGAATCTCAGGTGCAGAAGATGTCATAGAAACCATTGACACAACAGTCAAAGAAAATGCAAAATGCAAAAAGCTCCTAGCCCAAAACATCCAAGAAATCCAGGACACAATGAGAAGACCAAACATAAGGATAACAGGTATAGAAGACAGCGAAGATTCCCAAGTTAAAATGACAGTAAATATCTTCAACAAAAGTATAGAAGAACCTAAACCTAAAGAAAGAGATGCCCACGAACATACAAGAAACCTACAGAACTTCAAATAGACTATACCAGAAAAGAAAAGAAATTCCTCCCGTCACATAATAATAAAAAACACCAAGTGCAAAAAACAAAGAAAGAATATTAAGAGCAGTAGGGAAAAATGTCAAGTAACTTATAAAAGCAGACCTATTAGAATTACACCAGACTTTTCACCAACACCTATGAAAGCCAGAAGAGCCTGGACAGATGTCATACAGACCCTAAGAGAACATATTTGCCAGCCCAGGCTACTATACCCAGGAAAACTCTCAATTACCATAGATAAAGAAACCAAGATATTCCATGACAAAACCAAATATAAACAATCTTTCCACAAATCCAGCCTTACAAAAGATAATAGATGGAAAACTCCAACACAAGGAGGGAAACTATACCCTAGATAAGGCAAGAAAGTAATATTCTTTCAACACACCCAAAAGAAGATAGCCACGCAAACATAACTCCACCTCTAATAACAAAAATAACAGGAAGCAACATTCACTTTTCCTTAATATCTTTTAACATCAATAGATTCAATTCCCCAATAAAAAGGCATAAACTAACGAACTGGATACGTAAATAGGACTCAGAGTTTTGCTGCATACAGGAAATGCATCTCATTGACAAAGACAGGAAAAGCATCTCATTGACAAAGTAAAAGGTTGGAAAGCAATTTTCCAAGCAAATGGGCTAAAAAAAAAAAACAAGCTGGAGTATCCATTCTAATACTGAATAAATTCAACTTTCAATCAAAAGTTATCAAAAAAGATAAGGAAGGGCACTTCATACTTGTCAAAGAAAAAAAATCTACCAAGATGAACTCTCAATATCTATGCTCCAAATGCAAGGGCACCCATATTCATACCAGAAACTTTACTAAAGCTAAAAGTACACAGTGTATCTCACACAATGACAGTGGGAGACTTCAACACCCCACTGTCAGCAGTGGACAGACCATGTAAACTGACACTAAGCAAAGACACAGTAAAACTAACAAAAGTTATGAAACAAATGGATTTAACAGATATCTATAGAACATTTCATCCTAAAACAAAAGAATATACCTTTTCCTCAGCATATCATGGTACCTTCTCCACAACTGACAACAAATTGGGCACAAAACAGTCCTTGACAGATACAAGAATATTGAAGTAGCCCTAATCATCTTATCAGATCACCAAGGACTAAGGCTGGTCTTCAATAATAACAAAAACAACTGAAAGCCCACATGCACATGGAAACTGAACGACACTCTACTCAATGATGACTTGGTCAAGGAAAAAAGAAAGAAAGAAATTGAACATTTTTTAGAATTTAATGAAAATGAAGGCACATCATACCAAAATTTATGAGACACAATGAAAGCAGTGCTATGAAGAAAACTCATAGCTCTAAGTGCCTACAAAAAGAAACTGGAGGGAACAAACACTAACACCTTGACAGTACACCTGAAAGCTCTAGAACAAAAGGAAAAAATGCACCCAAGAGGAATAGACAACAGGAAATAATCAAACTAAGAGCTGAAATCAACCAAATAGAAACAAAAAGAACTATACAAAGTATCAACAAAACCAGGAGCTGGTTCTTTCAGAAAATAAACAAGATAGATAAGCCCTTAGCCAGACTAACCAGAGGGCACAGAAACAGTATCCAAATTAATAAAATTAGAATTGAAAAGGGAAACATAACAACAGAAACTGAGGAAATTCAAAAAAACATCAGATCCTACTACAAAAGCCTATATTCAACAAAACTGGAAAATCTGGATGAAATGGACAAATTTTCTAGACAGATACCAGACACCAAAGTTAAATCAGAAGCAGATAAACCACCTAAACAATCCCATATCCCCCTAAAGAAATAGCAGCAGTCATTAAAAGTCTCCCCACCACTGAGCAGATCCTGGGCGGCTGCTCTGCACCCAATCTCACAAAACCCAGAGGAAGCGGGGCTCCCAGGAGCTCTAACCCGGGCAGCATCTTAGGTA